ATGACACATACGTTTGTCCAACTGCTGTGGGTTAACACCCAAAACATTTCAAAATATGCTGATTTACACTCGAATGAAAAGTAACGCAACTACACAGAGTGACTGAAATTAGGGTTACTAGTGAAACCACAGAAAGATGTTGTGTTTAGTCTTGTAAAGAGCCTACATTGTACCGTCTCTCAGTTTTGACTGCAAGACAGGAGTGCAACTCGACATAAAATGCCTCCGACGTTTGTCCAACTGCTACGGGTTTTCACCCATCAAATTAGCTTATGTACATCATTCGAATGACAATAGTTTAGTTATGTCCAATGACTGAATATAAGGTTACTGCTTTAACTGCAAGAGCTGGATATGCTGTAGGACACAGGGATGTAACTCGACACAATTTGACGCATACGTTTGTCCAACTGATACGGGTTATCACTAAAACCTGGGCAGCATGTTCTTGTTTGACTGATCGTGATCGTGAAAGGAATGACGTTTTGCTGGGATAAATACACCTTTGAATTTCCATCACCATATCCTGGATCAGAGTTGATTGATTTAACCGAGTGTTGATTACATGTTAAACATCCTTCGGTGATAGGATCAGTGTTGGAAAAGACTTCCTGTCTATTTAGTTCTGAAGTCGCCCTCGTAAAATGCATGTCTCACGATATACGCGTTTGTCACTTGTCAGAGGGCTGGCAAGGGAATAAAAAAGAAAAGGCCAAGTAGCAATATGCGTTTTTACAGGTTTCTGAACATTTAAAGGGGATTATCGTGGTTGAAACTCCCTAGTAGGGTTCAACCAGTCTTTGGTAAATCGAATTTCTGTACTCTCCACAGAGTTCAACGTTTATAAGTGGTACAGATATGAGAAAAACATCAACTTCTTTATGAGTGGTACAGACATAAGAAAAACATGAACTTGCCAGTTGCGAGATTAGACAAACATGTTGTTTGACAAAAACAATACAATTGTTCTTCTCATTATGTATTGTCAATAAGAATATAGAAGGAACAAACGTCACGTGATATGTGAGACGAGTTAAATTTCGATCAAACGTTTTAATGATAGTATTTCGTACATAATGTTAAAGTTGCAAAACTTGCACTGCTGGTGATAAGTCGATCGGATCTAAAGATAAATTGTGACGCTCATCAGCGGTTTTATAATTCTGGACCATTGCGATATTGTGGCTGTTTAGGTGTGGTGGGATAGCCCAGTGGTTAAAGCGTTCGCTCGTCACGCCGAAGGCCCGGGTTCGGTTCCCTACGTGGGTACAATGTGTGAAGTCCATTTCTGGTGTCCCTCGCCGTGATATTGCTGGAGTATTGCTAAAATCGGCGTAAGACTAAACTCACTCACTCACTGTGGCTGTTTCAACATGACCACTCCATTCATACACACTAACCTGACTCGAGCCGGCCAGTCTTTGTTTCATACCACACATGCCATGGCAATAACAAGCACCACATTTTGAAATCTGGTATGAAGCGGTATTTAACTCTGACCCAAGAAAAAGACAAGCCGCACACATAAGCGCATGGCTATATAAGAGCAATAACCTTATCGTGGCGTTAATCTATATAACTTATATATATATTTCTACATTCAGCCTATTCCTGCAAACCTCTCCACCTATTCCTATATCCCACATACATCTGCAATACCAGACTATGAACATACACACGTGTGCACCTCCCTAATAGCAATTTAATTCAGGTGTATGCATTTCGTCTCATTGTGATGAGAAAAACTCATTTCTTGGGGGGCGGTGGGGTAGCCTAGTGGTTAAAACGTTCACTCGTCACACCGAAGACCCGGGATCGATTCCCCACATGGGTACAATGTGTTAAGCCCATTCCTGATGTCCCCCGCCATGATATTGCTGGAATATTGTTAAAAGCGGCGTAAAATAATACTCACTCATTCACTCATTTCTTGCATCGCGATCTCAAAATCCCGCTGTTATAAATTGACCGAGAGTGAAAATGATCAGAATGCATTATCCTGCCACAGGCACAAAAACTGTTCAATTTACTCAGTCCCCCCAAAAAACTGTCGCTACATCTTAAATGAGAAAAGCCTTCAATTTACCGACAAAGGATGTTTTATTCAGCTGTTGCGGAACAGCTAATGGGAAGAGAAGGATGAAGATTCAGTGATGAGCTAGACGAGACCGTCCGCTCACGGAGGAGAATACCGATCTATCCGTGCAGGACCTCCTGGCCGCCTTCTCACAATACTGATCAAAGAAGCAAATAAGCAGTGGGAGACGAAGTGGACAACACTCCAATCCATGGTCTGGATGGACGAGCAGCTGGACATTAAGCGTTGTGTATTGTCACATGATAGCTGGTCTAGCAACCTGTGTCAATATCTCTTGGAACAATGATGCTTGTACTGTTTACACACCTACTCCCCACGGCCACGCACGCCGCTTAATGTGCTCCTTTTTAGTTTGAAGTACGTTATTAGTAATATCGAATGAAATACCAACGCAGGCCATCTTCTATCCAAGCGCTAAACGCAGCCATCTACAGATTTGTCGCGTCTCGCTGATTATCTTTGAAAGGGAAAAGTGTATTTGGTTTCATATTTGGAGAATTACACAATTACGTTTTTATGCTGCTGCTTGAAAACATCTGCATTAAGGGAAAATGTGAGAAAACGTCTTAAAACATCTTGTATTGATTTGTCGTCACTGGATTATGGCCATCAATGAATGTGACAGCGATAATAATCCCATTAAAGGCCCCGGCATGTCTTCAAGCGAAATCACTTTTTGTTTAACCTTTACGCGCTTTCAAGACAGTCTAGAGCTATGATGCAGTGTTCAAGCACGCAATTAACATCAGATCCTAACACACAGAAGGATCCGCACCTGACACTATTTATCCAGATGTGTGAAATTTGTGTTGAATAGTATTTCTTATACCACGGCATGTCAGAGTGATGTGAGTGAGTGTGTTTTAGCAATATTCCAGCAATATTCCAGCTATATCACGGCGGGGGACACCAGTAAAGAGAGTGATGTGAGTGGATGACCAAAGTGATTGAATCCATTTTGGTAACATCCTCTTAAAGGGGCTGGTCAGTTATCATAACATGGGAAACTCAAGAAATCTGATTGCACAATAACCGGATCCTGCACGGATAAGGGAGGTAACCAAGTATAGCGAATTGCGTTGCAATAGGGCCCAGAGTCACTGATTCCTGACATGCGATCCTGGTTGCAATTGTTGACGTTTGTATTACCCAGTGGTGATGCCTATTTTGGAGTGTATAGAAAACATGTTTGAGTAGAATGTAATGCAGCTTTAAGGAACATTACCGTTACATCACTGCGGTGGAGTTTCACACAGACAGAGCAAGGACCAAACGTCGTGATGACTGACCATCATAGTTTCCAAGTTTACTACCAGCAGATCCGGGGCGGTGGGGTAGCCTAATGGTTACAACGTTCGGTCGAAAACCCTTGTTCGAATCAGTACAAGGGTACAATGGGTGAAGCCCATTTCTGGTGTCCCCCGCCGTAATATTGCTTTAAGATTGCTAAAAGCGGCGTAAAACTAAACTTACTCAATCACTAGCTCACTAGCAGATCCTATTATTTCCCAGCGACCTGTGTTCACGTTATTTAATGCGGTTGTATGGAATCCTGGAAGGGACATCTGACATCGCGTTACGATTGCCTAGAAAAGGCGTGATAACATCCGTGAATTGGTCTCGCAGAAAAACGACATGACTTCACAGTAGAAAGTCTGCGTTTTAGTTTGTGCAAAATGACTTCAGTCACGCTTCGCATGTATGTGATGTATCAATAAGACATATACCTTTCCTGTTTTTCACCTGTCAATAGAAAAGCCAAGGAAATACGACTGTTTGGTTGAGGGCTGGTGTCTTGACACAGCAAACGAGGTCGGATCTGACACGGGCAGATATAACGGGGACAGGACTAACGGGGACAGCATTAACGGGGGCAGAGCTAATGGCGCAGAGCTAACGGGGACAGAGGTAACGGAGACAGAACTAACGGCGGCAGAGCTAACGGGGAGGACGGGGCAGGTAAGTACAGTAACGGGGGCAGAGCTAAGAACTAACGGCGTAACGGAGCAGAACTAACGGCGGCAGAGCTATGGGGACAGAACTAACGGGGCAGAGGTAATGGGTACAGAACTAACGGGGGCAGAGCTAACGGGGGCAGAGCTAACGAGGACAGAGGTAACGGAGACAGAACTAACGGCGGCAGAGCTAACGGGGACAGAACTAACGGGGCAGAGGTAATGGGTACAGAACTAACGGGTACAAACTAACGGACACAGAGCTAACGGGGGCAGAACTAACGTGGACATAACTAACGGGGGCAGAACTAACGGAGACAGAACTAACGGGGACAGAGCTAACGGGGGCAGAACTAAAAACGGGGACAGAGCTAACGGGGGCAGAGGTAACGCGGACAGAACTAACGGGGACAGAGGTAACGGGGGCAGAACTAACGGGGACATAGGTAACGGAGACAGAACTAACGGGGACATTACTAACGGGGGCAGATCTAACAGGGGCAGAACTAACGGGGACAGAGCTAACGGGGGCAGAACTAACGGGGGCAGAGGTAACGCGGACAGAATTAACGGGGACAGAGGTAACGGGGGCAGAACTAACGGGGACATAGGTAACGCGGACAGAAGTAACGGGACAGAACTCACGCGGACAGAACTAACGGGACAGAGCTAACGGGGGCAGAGGTAACGGGGACAGAGGTAACGGAGACAGAGCTAACGGGGACAGAGCTAACATGGACAAAGCTAACGGGGGCAGAGGTAACGGAGACAGAACTAACGGGGGCAGAGCTAACGGGGGCAGAGCTAACGGGACAGCTAACGTGGACAGAGCTAACGGGGACAAAACTAACGGGACAGAGCTAACGGGGCAGAACTAACGGTCAGAGGGCTAATGGAGTCACAACTAAAGGGGAAGTAATGATGTGTTGTATAGACGTTAGACTTACCTCCTTGTCGAGGCACGGCGTGTAGTCGGTCCAGTCTAGCAGCTTCTTCTTGTACCAAGTACCGTCAGCATTGCACTGCTTGATAGCATTACCTGCAGAAGGAAGAGTATGATAGACCGCAGGACTGAGACATGTAAGGGACACACACCACACAATAATTATACACAATTCGAAAACAAACAAACTGGATATAGGGAACTCACTTCTAATTACTGTAACTGAATGGGTGTGGCCTTATTCTCTGAACTCAAGTGATACACATAAATTTGTATGTCCCTGATAAACGTAATATCAGCATTTTAGCAATGAAACATGGATACTACATATTGGGATGCAAGAGAAATCTCGGTAATAAAAGATTCATATCAGAGTTCAAGCCTCTGGGTCCTTTGTGCGTGGTCAGACATAACAGACTGAAGGATATCACAAATTGACAGACCCTTGACGATCCGGGTTAGAAATGCTTGTCAGAAAAGGTGACTAACGGGATCGGGTGGTCATGCTCGTTGACTTGGTTGACACATGTCATCGTATCCCATTTGCGTAGATTGATGCTGATGCTGTTGATCACTGGATTGTCTGGTCCAGACTCGATTACTTACAGACCGCAGCCATATACCTGTGATATTGCTGAGTGCGGCGTTAAACAACAATCCAACCAACGATCAACAATTTGACGTTCACGATCACAATGCCTTATAAAACACTCAAATCTGTAGTGATCACAAGTCTTTGTCATAAGCGACAGGAGCCGAAAAATATCGCAAGTTGCATTCACCAAAAATCTACTGCTTAGCGCATGCAAATCAAGGGCAGAAAAGTATGTTTTTAATCGATCCTACTACAGCCTACAGCTGCAGAAAAGTATGTGTGTCAGTTTCACCATATTAACCCGACAATCTAACACCATCACAGCGCAACTGCATGACGGCTAGTGTTGTTGAAAGCTTTTGGGTAGTGCTTTTAGATTTTAGTTTAATAATATTTTTAACGACACAATGCATTTGCAGCCCACACGTGTCATGAATGCCAGCGTGCACTGAAAATTGTCCACTATTTCGATGGAGACTAAACAAACTACAGCTTACAGACAATGGTATAAGCATAGGTTTAATATATCGTATAACAGCCACGCATTTGTGAAACGGTAACTGCAATTCAGTGTTGAAGTTTATTTTATTTTTTCATTTACTAATAAAAATCCATACGTTTCAGGCTTTTTTCGCCATAGTGCCTAGTTACTAAATTCGTTCTGACAAAAGTGTAACTAATAAAAACTAAAGTACTGTCGGAAATAGAAAAAACTGTTTTTTCACATTTATATTTACAAGCTAGGTAGTTAATATGTGAAAGTGTGAAATATCTGTTGAACTCAGTTCGGCCTAACTACAGTCTCAGTGGTAGGGAGATAGGAAACGTTAAAAAAAGGATTTTACTGAGGAGAGATTAGTGCAGAAATGGGCAATGCGGTTTTTTGCAAAGTCCGAAGAGGCTTATTTGGAGCAGACCATGGCTTTATGCAAATTAGTGTGGGATGATATTGTATAACAAATGACACGTTTTGAATTCCATTTTGAAATTAGACTCAGTTTCATAATAAACGATAGCAGACGTAAAAAATAACAACTTTAATACTGAAACTGTTAATGATATAGATACCATTGAGTCTCACTATCACTACAAAAAGAAACAGGTAGGAGGGGTAGTCTCAAAAGCAAAACCGTGTTGCTGACGGTAGTTGGGGTCGGGGGATAGAGATATCAGCTAACATTAGAAAATCAGTAGAGACATATTCAATATACATGAACAAGCATAAAAGATATTTGAGATGACCCCTTGTGTCTGTGGGCAGCACGTGCATTACATGCCAAATGAGTTGACGGTCCGTTGTCATACCTGGCTGAGCGACCTAATTGCCATCTATAGTCTGATCTATTGTTTTCAGCAGCTGTTCGTAAGTTTTGCCCGATTTTACGATTAAACATGCATTTCTGGATATCCTCTTACGCATCCCACTGAACGCCCAGTTAGGCCGATGTGGGATATTTCGACATATGCTATTTGCAATTGTGTAAATTGTAAGGATACAGAGTAACAGCCTAAAAACAGGGTTTTTTCTATTTCCGACAGTACTTTAAGCGCTCCTCTTTCTCTGAACATCTCCAGAACGTCTAAAACACCATCGACAGGTAATTCGCAAGCATCAAACTATTTCTTAGATTCACAAAACATTCACTGTTCTATGAGGATAACTCTAAGGGCTATTACCACCCAGTGAATACGACAAATGGAATTAGTGGAAGAGAACTCCAGAAGGGAACTAAAGGTTTCTGCTACGCCCAAGAGACGCAACTCTGAAAATTGTCACGACCTTCGAATCGGCCACTCAGGGTTAGAGAGCATATACTTTCACATTTGCAAGTGACGTGATTTGGTATCGATGACGTTTCAGCAGTTACATTCGTTCGAACTAAAGACAATAGGTTTCTGTATCACCCAAGGGACGCATCTCTGCACAGCAAATTGTCAGGACTTTCAAATCGGCCACTCAGGGTTAGAGAGACCATTCCCACACTTTTGCCAGTTACGGCCTTTGATGCGACGATGTCTCAGGAATGACGTTCGAACTAAAGAGATCATAGATCATAGGTTTCTGCACGCCAAAGGAACCCGACTCTGCACAGATAATTGTATATTCTTTTTAACAGAACCACACACGTAAAGGATACGTAAGTGATGGACATGTTCAAGCTTTGTATGATTCGTAACATTGACTTACGTGTAGGCACTGCGTACTCCAGGAAACTAGGGCAGCTGAGGAAGGTGGTGGTACCAGGAGCCGTATCATCCCAGCATCCGTAACCATCCCACGTGCGGTGGCACGTGGTGTTGGTATGGAGCGGGGCTTCAATTTGACGCCGACAGCAGTCTTCAGCGTGATGGCAGCACATACTCCAGCGGTCACACAGATCGGGGGTTAAAGTCTCGCATATCATGCTCCGACAGGTGGCGTTCTTGACATCCGGTATGAGCAAAGAACCCTTGGAGAACGTGGATCCATTCACCCTTGCCTCCAGGTATGGAGTCCTGAGGTTGGCGGTAAGCTTCAGGGAGCGGGAGACGTGGAAATAGCACCATGCGCACGAATACAACCGAAACTCGTCAGGAGGACGCATTCCAAATTTGTGACGGCACATTTTCTCTTTGGCGATTGCGTCATGGCCCTGGAAATGAGATATGAGTCAGTTATATCATTGCTAGTCAGGTTAATGGGGGAGGAAAGCCCGAAGTAACGCATACCTTTTGTCATTACGGTGTCATCCACGAGCACGTGCATAGCGCTGAAGCATAATCAGTGAGTCAGTTTAGTTTTACCCCGCTTTTAGCAATATTCCAGCAATATCACGAAGGGGGCACCAGAAATGGGCTTCACACACTGTACCCATGAGGGGAATCGAACCGGGTCTTCAGCCTGACGAGTAAACACTTTAACCACTAGGCTACCCTACATGATCAGGACAAAAAGGAAATCGTAAATATACATGTGGTGGCTGTGGTGTGTTGTCCTTTGCGTAGAGCCCACGTCATAGTCAGTTCAAGTTAAGCAACGTTGGTCACGGGGAATCTTGAATGAGTGACCGTGTTTGGCAACTTGGCTCCTGAGAGTTTCTAGGCTTTTAGTCCTGCCCCACAACGAAGAACACATTTTGTCACATGTGGTCTCACCCTAGGCGTGTGACTTTGTTCATAAATTGCCTCTTTTCACAAAGCAGTAAATGGGTACCCGGTGACAAAAGTCATGTGACTGTTAAGCTTGGGTTATCCGGGTTAACAACGTGTTAGCGCCTTGGGCATGCACAAGTAAGAGGGAAAATGCGCTTTATAATAGTCATAATGATAAATATCATCATCATATAAACACTGACTACAAACCAAAGGCAGTGACTCGCGCATCAGCATTCAGAATGGGAATCGAACTAGGTTCTTAAGTGGGGCCATCACACGCATCAACCATTGGGCTGTCCCACTGCCCTATTAAGTGACGTGAGTAACTGTATACCATGTCTCCCAACTGGCGACAAGGCCATACCTCCGTGATTGAATTCCCATATTGTAATAATTTGACTCGAACTAAATGGACTGTGAACGAACAGCGAAACTGCACATGACAAACCAAACCACAACACCAACGATGTAAGTTTGAAGTAATAAAATTGCTGTAAGTCATTGCTGTATGGGAAGTCAGTTTGCATGTTGAATGTTCTTCAAATTATTTTAACGTAAAAGGTTGCTTTATTGATTGAACGCTCAGTGCGTGCGCGTGTGCGTGTGCGTGTGATGTAATAAGTTCCGTATACACGGCAGAATCTTTTTCTGGCGCGAGCTAAAATAGAACATCCAAATCAACTTGCGTTTAATAATTAAATATCAAACTATTTATGTCAAAAACCACAGTAAAACTACTTGGGGAAAAAACGTTCGGATTTAAAAAAATCCATTTTCGTATAATTTACAGGCGATAGCTTTTGTCACCTCTTCCTCTCTCACGTCAACACTGCATTATATATCGTACTTTGTTACTCTAATCTGGTGATTGCCCATTGAAGCATAACGGGAGCATCAAAACCTAATTTGCGATGCCGTTACTCCTTTGTACCAGTAGAATCAGCCAGTTCTTTGAGACGAATCAAATATATTTTTCTGTAAAACAACAGACATTTCTATTTCAGAACTTCACTGAAATCGACTGTAAGATATTGAAAGTCTAAAAGAGTCATGGGATGGTGTTTAAGCTAACGGTGTCCAGGCCGATGACGTGTTGCTTAACGGCCATGCAGATATATTGTGTTAAATTGCAGGTGTATATGTTTGTCGGTTATGGAGTAGCACATGATTTGATGTGCAGTTTCTTTAAATTCAAACCACAGTAATTTATCACACAAGTAAATAAATCATGGCGTGTTTTATTGGAAATGTTTAGGTAAAGTTGGATGTAGCTTGGATTTAAAAAAATCAAGATAGATGAGCTCGTTTGTCTTTTTCATTGACGTACGAATGCAGTGTACCAGACACGGGTTAACATGCTACTTCGAATGAAGATCACAGTTGTTGTTTTTTGCAATCAAAAGGAAAGTGCGAAAAGAATTTAAATTTTGATTTTAAACACATGTTTATGAAATAGAGTTCCTGATCCTGATTACTTTTCTGATGGGCATCAAGGTGTGCTGACCTTAACAAATGAAATACATTGGGCTCATTCCGACCTGCTCGCATGCTACTGCAGCAATTGGTTACTGGTTATATTAAGGGAGTTATAGAGATCATTCCTGATAGCTCGCAGACCATCAGACTATTAAGCTGGAATAACGGGCCTTAAGTTTGTCCGGAAGACCCTCCTTCAGAGATTACCATTTGCTGCGCTTGGAAGAACAGACCCGTGAAGATGCGTATCAGAATTAGTCTTCCATGCTTGTCGTCAGTCAGCCCATGCTTTGTCGTTGGTCAACCCATGCTTGTCGTTGGTCAACCCATGCTTGTCGTTGGTCAACCCATGCTTGTCGTCGTCAGTCAGCCCATGCTTGTCGTTGGTCAACCCATGCTTGTCGTTGGTCAACCCATGCTTGTCGTTGGAGCCGATTAACGGGATCGGGTAGTCAGACTCGCTGACTTGGTTTATACATGTCATCGTATTCCAATTGCTTAGACCGATGCTCATGGTGTTATCACTGGATTGTCTGGCCCAGACTCGATTATTTACAGTTGCCGCCATATAGCTGGAATGTTGCTGAGTGCGTTAAACAACCAACCATTCACTTGTTCTGATGTTGCGGTAAGACGTAGTCAAACATTACAACCAGAGTTATCTTTCTTTGCAATACTCTTCCTCTTCCAGGGGTGATGGTCATTACCGACTCTCCTCCGTAATAATCCCCGGTATACCTGATACATCGACAAGGAAACTGTCCAACGAGACATATCCTCTTCTGAATCCTCCGGTTACACAAGTCAAACTTTCACTACAGCCGTTGGCATTATGAAATGCAGATCTCACAAGCAATTTTATTTATATGATTGATAATGTGATAATGATTTAGTGTTAACTTCAAATGTCATTGTCAAGATCTTGATTTTAATTATTGTCGGTAGCAGAGAGTTTTTTGATTATATCGAACTAGTGAGTGAGTGAGTTGGGATTTACACCACTTTATGCAATGGTCCAGCAATATCACGACCGTGTACAAACGAAATGGGCTTCACACATTGTATAATTTTCATCACTAATTTGCCTTTTACCCACAATGGAAACTGTTTCAGAAGATAACCGAGACTGGTGCTTCTCTACTGTTGATAGTTTACCAACATGCATACTAAACGTCATAACTGGGGGGTCACACATATTAAGATTGATATAGCATTTTTAACTCACTCACTCACCCACTCATTATTATACGCATTTCAACTAACAACAGCAAGTAGAGAGTCCAATAAAACTCTATGTTACATTCATTAGTTTGTTTTGAGCGTGTCCGTTAACTATGTATGTAACTTTACATCCCTTAAGAACCTTTAACTAAATTAAATTGAACTAAATTTGTATTTGACGAATGTCAAGATTTTAAGTAATCACTTGCATACTGTGCAATCGTTTAGACCGGAGCCTTTGTGTCAACATTTTCTCTCTTAAGGTCCACTTAGTGTGGGGCGGTGGGGTAGCCTAGTGGTTAAAGCGTCCGCCGAAAATACGGGGTTCGATTCCCCACATGGGTTCAATGTGTGAAGCCCATTTCTGGTGTCACCCGCCGTGATATTGCTGGAATATTGCTAAAAGCGGCGTAAAACCATACTCATTCACTTATTGTGCATGTGGGTTACCTACACACGGAACATTTCCCAGTTAATAAAAACAACAACTAAAAACCAACCAGTGATTGCACGTCTCTGAATCTTGTTTGTAAATGAAACGAATATTTAGGAATCGATACATCCATCTTTAGTGAGTGCGTGACAGCGACATTTCAATTCGAAATGGGAAACATATTTTAGATATTTCTGTTCAATGATGTGTAAGTTGTTGGTTGATGAGCAACGATGTCCCAGTGACCGAGGGGATGCGAGGGGATGCAAGGGGATGCGAGAGCTGATGACCGCCTGGAGGGAGGATTTTGGACCATTTAAACGATTCCGAATTCAGATCCTATGGCCAGAAGACAAGGAAGTGCGTTTCGATGGGGATCACAATGAATAATTAGAGATTATCTTTGTCTTAAAAGGCATCTTTGTCGGTTTCTCCATCAGCAACTTCAGTGACTATTATTGATGACCACGATTATGGCGTAATAAACCCAGTTCACATCACTTACGTCCGTTCAGAACACTTTTTCAGGACAAGAATGATGGATTTAAGAAGTCCTTTGGTTGATCTACAATGTCTCTTCAACTTAACTCTCTAGCTTTCATGAGATGACAAATGCAAGAAATAAAGCAGTGATTATATTACGTATAATCCGTGAAATGGCACCATATTTGTCTATTACTTCGACCATTAGTCTGTATTTATGCGTCACTTGCATCAAATGTATCCAGTTGTTCTCAAGTACTGATTTGTCTTCCTAACCTGAGTGTGAGTGAGTGAGCTGCTTTTAGCAAATTCCGGTAATATCACGGCGGGGGACACCAGAAATGGGCTTCACACATGGTACAAGGTCCGTCAATGGCAACTCAATGGTCAGATTATTCAGGACTACTTTCCTTATTACAATCGTGCTTGGGTCAAACTCAGTTACATCTGTGTTGAAAGTTTACAGGTTTAGAGCTTTAATATATATTTTGAGATCTTATCTAATCTTTATCACCACCTTCGCGCTGATAACCTTGAGATGATACGAAAACCCATGTGGAAGGGGAGGGGAGGGCTACGCGAGGTACGCGTCGTAAACAGTAGGCGCGATGACGTCATGACCATTGTGTTATGTATCAATGCGCCACTGTGAATGTCAGATCGATCCTAAAAGAATGAGAGTTTCGTGTTGTGTAAGAGACATATTACTGCGCTCGTGACTGTAGGATGCCATTTATCACATGTGTTTTCTGGAGAAGTGTCTATTTTCATACTTTTGAAACAAATCGTTGTAAGATAAATGGCATCTGACAAACTCATGTACTGTCAACATGCAATTCGCACCAGCCGCACCAACCCTGCTGCAATTGTGAACGTCATCGCCCACTATACCCAACACCATCGCCAACGAACACACATATGTGTATCAAATATTATATTTAATAAGTACCTATACGCTATACATAAAATAATTTGTTTGATATTAAAATCTATTGGAGGAACCCAATACCGGGAGTTTGTTGGCAGCTAGTCATTTATCATCAGCGTAAATGGATTTACCTTGGAGATCTGTCCCAAAATACTTTGTTTTGTAGTAACGCATTTATCAATATGTCAAGTCCTTACCAACATGCAAAATGATTTGATTTGATTATTGCATATCAATATCTTCTCATTGATAGTCACCAACAATACCGTAATCACATGTCACTGTCAGCGGGCCAGACGTTAATTACAACCTGGTGAGTAAGATTCGGATGAGATTCTTTCTCCTCAACGGCTCTCTGCAAGATCACATTAAACAATCAGAGTCATATTAAGGTTGGAACTTGGTCTTTAATTGTGAATTATTCCCCAATGAGTCTTGGGATGACAGTTAATGGTAATTTGTCAACGCATATGTGAGTGACTGAAGGTGTGAGTGGGAAATTAGTGTAACCATGCTTTCAGGAGTAGCCGTTTTGATTCAGTCTTTGAAAATAGTTTATAGTTAAGTTAGCTGTACATCGCAAAGATGGAGTGAGAAGTGAGTGAGTGAGTGAGTGAGTGAGTGACGGTAATTTGTCAACACATATCTGAGTGACTGAAGGTATGAGTGGGAAAATAGTGTAACCATCCTTTCAGGAGTAGCCGTTTTGATTCAGTCTATGAAAATAGTTTATAGTTAAGTTAGCTGTACATCACGAAGATGGAGTGAGAAGTGAGTGAGTGAGTGAGTGACGGTAATTTGTCAACACATATCTGAGTGACTGAAGGTATGAGTGGGAAAATAGTGTAACCATGCATTCAGGAGTAGCCGTTTTGATTCAGTCTATGAAAATAGTTTACAGTTAAGTTGACTATACATCGCGTAGATGGATAAGAGTGAGTGAGTGGATTAGAGTCAGTAGGTGAGTGGACGGATAAGAGTGAATGAGTGAGTGAGTGACGTTGGTCGAACGGTATTGTCTCACATCTGCACAATACCTTGATACAAGTCTACGTTAGCAACATATCAAGGGAAAAGGAGAAGAAGGTTGAGGGAGTGAGTGAGTGAGTATGGTTTTACACCGCTTTCAGCAATATTCCAGCAATATCACGGCGGGGGACACAAGAAATGGGCTTCACACATTGTGCCCATGTGGGGATTCGAACCCGGGTCTTTGGCGTAACGAGCGGACGCTTTGACCACTAGGCTACCCCACCGCCCCTGAAGAAGGTTGAGGGAGCCTGCTATGACAATCGTTATGAGAGGGAGTTCACCATGAAGTGAACGACGTGGGTGTAACGCTGCTTTGATCAGGATAACAGCGTGACGTCGTAATCTCACGAGGAAAGCCGAAAAGGGGTGTGATGTCACACCCGCCGTCATGCTTCTGAATTTCATGTGAGAGGTTTTGTTTTACGTCGATTTAGCAATATTCCAGCAATATCACGCGGGGGACCCCAGAAATGGGCTTCACACATTGTACCCATGTGGGGTCATAGCGTGATGTACTGTTTCAGTGCAACGGTATAATTGGAACAACGCCTATCTAAGTTAGGGACAGCTCAGTGTAATATCGATTAAATATGTTACGAGGTTTCATAACATTAATTTGTTTGTTGTTTCACATCGCAATCAGCAATATTTCAGCTGTATGACGGCAGCCTGTAAATATTCAAGTCTGGGCCTGACAACCCAGTGAGAAATATTGCACACAACATGCCGTCGGGGAACGATGGCACTATCGATCACTGAGCCTGTCCACTCGATCCTCGAAGCAACCTCTCCTGACCAGCATCTGTTCTGGAGGATTAGTTCTAACCAAGCATAGGGACGTGTCACGCTTAGAAACAGCGTTAGAAAGACGTATAGGTGTATAGTAATAGGGTAGGGTATATACAATTATATGTCTTTCTAACGCAGTTTCTAAGCGAGGCCCGCCCCTATGTAACCAAGCACCCCGTCGAGTCACTGCGTGTCATGGCAGAGGGCATAGAAACAAAAACTTCCCTGATCACGTCACTCATGAACTTTGATGGGCGGTGGGGTAGCTTAGTGGTTAAGGTGTTCGCTCGTTACGCCGAAGACCCGGGTTCGATTCCCCACATGAGTACAATGTGTCAAGCCGTTTCTGGTGTCCCCTGCCCGAGTTTGCTGAAATATTCCTATAGGTGGCGTAAACCCAACTCAGTCACTCACCACATGAACTCTGAACCTTCAACTCCTGTTACATTCTCATACGAGCATCGGAATGGCGTACAGACACATGACACTGAGATTCGACGACTGGGTCATCAACGCCCCCTGGCGGAGATATGGAAGCATTGTACATGGCTATTTAGTTTGTTTCACAGCAAAACTTACCATACAAACTAGCAGGACTAGAGCCGTCACGGACGCTGTTGTCATCTTGATGCCGTCAGTGACGTCGTGATGAAGATGTCAAGGTCGACATTGGGTGTCGGATACTGCGACGTCTCTACTGGGATACAGCGTTGGAACCTCTACGTCGACATCTAAAACAGACATGATGCGAATCAGTTGGGACAGTATATGAAACATTCCTGGAGAAGTGTTAGTTATAGATTATTCTAGCTGAGGTTGTCGTAGCCCACAATCCGGAAGTACCATTCTTTATTAAAGACTAGATGTCTGCGAATGTACCTTAAAGAATGCACTTCCCAATCTGGCTGCGAATGATGAAGCAGATATGAAATATCTAGATCTATACATTCTATAGCATCCGCCATCGCCCATTTCCACATACCTTACAGATACTTTGTTCCTTCGAATTTGAACTTTAAATTTACTAATTGGAATTGGAATTGGAAAACAAAACCAGTGCGGAATTTCGAAAACAGGATGGCACCCGTCACGAAGACAAAACCGTTTTGTTTTTGTTTTATGCTTGTTTTTTAAATCATTATTCGACTTTCTCATTGAATGTTATTTTCTTTATTTTCACTTACTTTAATTCTATTTTTGATGACAATTGTTATTAAAGAATTATAAGTGACGCCATCTATTCCAGATCACAATTTACAGACAGCAATACTTCCATTTTAAGCGAGTATGGTTTTGATAATAATAATATGAGTACTTTTATAGCGCCTCATCCACATCACTGAGCGACATGCTCTAAGCGCATACAAGTCGGAGTTCATTTACGCGATAACTCAAGCTGCCTGTGAGGCACTAGAAGGTTATAGTCACATGACTTATCCCACCGTTTACCAATTTCCTGCTGGTTGAACAGAGGCAATTTGGAACAAACTCACTTGCCTAAGGTGAGACCACATGTATCACACGTGCTTCGTTGTGGGACAGGACTGAAAGTCCCAGGAGTCAAGCTGTCAAACACGGTCACCCATTCCAGGACTCTCTGCGCCCAATGCTCAGGGCCACACACCACACCGGAGCCCGCCCAATACATTGGATTCACATTTGTTTACTCATGCTGGGAATCGAACCTACCATTCAGCGTGACGAGCGAACGCTTTTACCACAAGGCTACCTACCCGAAGCTCCATCTTCCGCAAATGAACACGTGTAATCTCCACAGTATGTATGCCATAATCTCCTCCGTATAATGAATTGGCGTTGTCTCTGTTCGAGATGTGTGCAGAGTCTAATCTATGAGGAAACTGGGATTACGGATTGCGGATTAATGGTGTAAATCCAGGGCCTTGACAAGAACCTTTCAAGATTATTTCCAGAGGGACTGATGGGCTGTAATTCCGAGTTATGAGTGGATATTCTCTGTATTATCCAAGAATTTTTCAACGCTGGTATATGGTTGGACTAACCATGGAAGCGGCATCTAACTTATCTCCTTTACCATTTTTCAGTTTTCTGGCGGCATATATTGTGCAGGGAGATTGTGGTCAAGCCTCTTGACCAGAGGCCTGTGAAGGTCCGGGTTAGAATTGTTCTTCATAACCCATGCGAAGCGACTAACGGGATCGGGAGGTCAGGATCAGGCACTGTACATATATGCATAATCGAACGAACCCAGGTTTCCGGCGTTAACACATAACCTATGGAACGCCAGAAGTTGTCATCTTAGATGGGGCAACAATGCGACAATGCGACATAATGTGACCTTGAAAATTGTCGCTATGTCACAATGTCGTCCTTAAGATGAATAAAGAAAAAATAGTATTCAAAGCGCGACAACGCGACAATGCGACAAATGACCAAAATATCGAGTTGTCGCATTGTCGCAATTTGGATAATTTTGCCACTTTTAGCTCTTTATTGTGAGGGCGACAAGGCAACAACACGACAATGTTCGGTCTAGGATTCCATACATAACCCGTAGGTTTCTCTTTGCGCTTTGAACATACTAATGTCCTGTTAATTATGACTACAGTTAACTTTGCTTTCTTTTAGCCATGACAGTTTTCGAATTCTGAAATTACCTGGTTTTGTGTCTTACAAGTATTGAACAAATACAAAAAGAACTAACGATGACGTGTCTTCCTACTTGGACAGTCACCCTTTGTTTCCGTCGGGCATAAGAGGGATCTCTGTCAACGACATGGCAATCTGTGCAACGTTACTCTATGCAACGTGGTCGACGGTGTTGTGTCGAACCTTTCAGAAGAAGTTTCTCTGTACAAACATGAGTCTGACAATTCCCCAATTACACCTTTCAGACGCCATGAGGATTAGCAGTTCGTCTCTATTAAAACGCAATCTACATTAATCGCTGTGAAATACGCATCATAGGGATTATATTTCAAAGCCGGATGGGGAGTGATGTACCGCCAGTTTTGTTTGATCGTTAACGAAGGTATCAAATGCCAGACTCAAAGACATCCAACCTTCATAAAACAAAGCAGTGTTATTGATGTCTCCACTGAAGTACGTTATGCTCTAGGCTTACAAAGCTTCTTCAACGTAATTCACAGTCCTTTATGAGCTGCTGACTGCCAACAACGGTGCGGTAATGAATACCTCAGCTATTAGTGAATAAGTGAGTCGGTAATTGCTGCTAATAAATATCCGAAATATTATGACACCTCGTAGACAGCAATTATTTTGATGTACAGTCATTGTATGAATTTCATGACGTGATATATTATCTATAAGTACTATGGTTTAATATCGGTACCCCACTTATGTGGAAGTTCGGAGAACTAGATAGAACTTGTTGATTATCCAGTTTACGAGGTCTTGCTGCATCTTTAAGAATGTGTTTGTTGGTTAACACTGCACTAAGTAATATTTAGGGTATATGAAGGTGGCTAGTAAATAATCGAGTCTTGACCTGAGAATCCAGTGATCGACGTCAGTGTTCACTTAGAATGACCACCCGATCCATAAAGCCACCTCTTACGAGCAGCATGTGTTGCAGAGGACAGGTTCTAACCAGAAACTCAATCAACACTCTTCACGTCCACATACAGAGCAACCGTGGCGACCCGGGTTAGACTTGGTCTTCAACAGCATATCCTTGTCGTTAGAGCCGTCTAACGGGATCAGGTGTTCAGGCGCGAAGCGTGATTGACATGTCATTGTATCGTCATTGCGTAGATCGATGCTCATGATGTTGATCACTGGATTGTCTGGCTCAGGCACGATTATTTACAGACCGCCATATAGCTGGAATATTGCTGATCGCGGCATTAATCAGCAACCAAATAACCAACCAACCACATTTAGAGTTATATCTGTCTCCTGAGTGAAACACGAAAAAGCAATCACTCAGGTTTTAAAGACGAGAGGTAAAAGACCATGTAATATATTTAATTACATATAATTGTGACCATAATTTGGCCCAAATGTTCCACAATCAAACGTCCACGCATATCAACAGTCTCGATTATATGCTGATTGTATGACTCAATTGAGCGTAAACGCCTCTGTACTGAAGGAAAACGTTTTTGTGCCAATGGGTGAGCGAGTATTAACGGTGGAGCGGAACATGATTACCCTTTTAGTAAACAGCAGGTGTCAACAATGGTCGATCAATTCATGTAAGTGGCTCATATATTTTGTCTTCCTGTGTGAACTGTTTTGGCAGGCATTGGCGAAGGAATGATTACATGCGTTATAGGGTAGACAGAATATAGGGTAGACAGGATATAGGGTAGACAGGATATAGCGTAGACAGGATATAGGGTAGACAGATATAGGGTAGACAGGATATAGGGTATACAGGATATAGGGTAGACAGAGTATAGGGTAGACAGGATATAGGGTAGACAGAATATAGGGTAGACAGGATATAGGGTAGACAGAATATAGGGTAGACAGGATATAGGGTAGACAGAATGTAGGGTAGACAGAATAAAGGGTAGACAGGATATAGGGTAGACAGAATATAGGGTAGACAGAATATAGGGTAGACAGGATATAGGGTAGACAGGATATAGGGTAGACAGGATATAGGGTAGACAGGATATAGGGTAGACAGAATATAGGGTAGACAGGATATATAGACAGAATATAGACAGAATATAGGGTAGACAGAATATAGGGTAGACAGAATATAGGGTAGACAGGATATAGGGTAGACAGAATATAGGGTAGACAGAATATAGGGTAGACAGGATATAGGGTAGACAGAATATAGGGTAGACAGATATAGGGTAGACAGGATATAGGGTAGACAGAATATAGGGTAGACAGAATATAGGGTAGACAGGATATAGGGTAGACAGAATATAGGGTAGACAGATATAGGGTAGACAGGATATAGGGTAGACAGAATATAGGGTAGACAGGATATAGGGTAGACAGGATATAGGGTAGACAGAATATAGGGTAGACAGATATAGGGTAGACAGAATATAGGGTAGGTAGACAGGATTGGGTAGACAGAATAGGGTAGACAGGATATAGGGTAGACAGGATATATAGGTATAGACAGAATATAGGGTAGACAGAATATAGGGTAGACAGGATATAGGGTAGACAGAATATAGGGTAGACAGGATATAGGTTGACAGAATATAGGGTAGACAGGATATAGGGTAGACAGAATGAGGGTAGACAGAATAGGGTAGACAGGATATAGGGTAGACAGAATATAGGGTAGACAGAATATAAGGTAGACAGAATATAGGGTAGACAGGATATAGGGTAGACAGAATATAGAGGGAGACAGAATATAGGGTAGACAGAATATAGGGTAAAACGGGACATTTGTCAAAATTCCATGATTTGCAATATGTCAAAAATATTTATGAACTGGTGTTCAAAAACGAGAGCGGACATTCATTATCACTGACTTTTGATCATAAGCTTCTTTCGTTAACCATGATGCCTGTGAAGGGAATGACTCGCAAGCGTGTTCATGCACTTAACTTTAGTTAGAAAAGCAATAATAAAAAACACATTGGATTTTCTACTTCAAAATATGCACTTTTCATGGCACATGTGTAATAAATTATCCCATGAAGATCCGGGTTAGAATTGGTCTCCAACAACCCATGCTTGTCATATGAGGCGTCTAATGGCAGCGAGTGGTCAGGCTCGCTGACTTGGTTGGTTGACACATGTCATCGTA